CAAACGTCTGATTAGCAAGGCATTGGCATGGATTATAAATTGTTGTGACATTCCCGTGCACCAATAAAATGTAAATTCTGGGGAGGGGTATAGGCAAGGTGTAAGGATTTGGAATTTTTTAAAAAAATTTTGGGTAAATTCTAGTGAGTGGAAGGCTAGAACAAAGTTCTTGAAAACTAGATAGTATGTGGTTCAATTTAAACCACATCATTTTTCTTACTCTCCATATATTGTTATGCAAGGTGTTTTTCTGCCAGCTGCAAATTGCCATTGCAATGATTTTTTATTACTTAGGCGCTACTGTATTTATATGATCTTGGATACTAGAGACACCCAATCCCAACCCGAGACAACTTTACTGCACATTTAATCTCTTCCTATGAGAATGGCTCTAAGTACGAGATTGTGACTCCATGGAAGCCGAGACAAACATGTAAACACATGGACAAAAGTTGTCCCTCCTACAAGGGTAACCCTGTTTTGTAAACAGGGTGTCCCTACTGCCAGGGTGACCCTACCAGCCCAGATGAGTTGAAAACTTTCCATATAAACACTTGCATTTAAATGTTATATAATGAATATAATTTTGCCTCTCCCAGGGTAGCTCGGAGGGTAGAGAGTGTCTCTATTACCCGAGATCATATAAACAGCACCTCAGTCACATTATTATCCCCTACCCCTCAACATCTCTATTCAATGCTGCATAATATTTACAATATTTGTGATCATACCAAAAATTGAATTGGCATGGCATACAAAATATGTGAAGATTATGATTTTCATCCCATAGTTTTTAGGTAAGATTGTGTAGTCAAACTATAGAAATTGTGACCGATGATGGCATTGGAAGTACTAAAATGATGGGCAAATTCTATTAAAGCATAACTAAAATTACATGGAATTTTACAGTAGCTTGCATATTGTATATGTATTAAATAATATAATATTGCAGAAAAGTTTCCGTGTCTATGCATACTTTTACCGTATGTCCACAACCCTGAAACATTTGCATAATTATAATAACAATACAGTCATATTAAAGAACAATAAAGTAAATAGAATATACATAAGTTTAGCGATTGAAACACTGCACAAACCAATAAGTAAACATATAAATAAATTAAAACAAACATACTTGCGATCATTGCCAAACCTTTGAAACTCACAGCCAACGCTTTGTGCAGTCAGCAGGATGCATCGACTGCACAAACTTTTCCAGAAGTTCTTTGACATGTACTGCCACTGTTGATTCTTTCAAGAAGGGCAATAGACAATTTTATATACTCATCGCTCGGCCGTGCACAGTGTTTTCACCTTGAACGTCAGAACGCTAATGAGTGAATTTTTTATTTTACTCATGATGCATTGCGGTCGTAGTGCGATTACCGCCTGCTTCCACCTCGGCCGGTTGCAAAACTCAAAAGCCGTGTCGACGTGAGCTGAGACGTGAGCCTGACAAAACAAGAAACGTCTACAATAATATTATTTAATGCAGTTTTCTTTGCACAGTATTTCAAGTATTTATAATGTAGTGCAGATGTCTTATGAAATACTACGCGTATTGCATTATAGTAATTAATATTTTAACAATATGAAATTGGTCGAAGACCCGTACTCAGGAAATAAAATAACAACATAAAACGCTCACTGAGTGTCCAGCGATATACATACCATTTTCTAGATATATACCTAATAATAATAAACGAACGAACGAATGTATTCCTTCCACTCGTGAGCTCATTTACCATTGTCACATATAGTAAATGTCCAGGCCTAATGTCCAGGGTATGTATATCGCTGGACACTCAGTGAGCGTTTTATGTTGTTAGTAATATTTTAATTTACAATATTCTATACTGACAAATTAGCCTCCTCCGCAGGCGTCTCTTAATCGTCGAGAACTTATATAATTTAGTTATTCAAATAACTGATGTTTTTCTAGGTAAGTACCACGAGATGCCTGTGGAGGAGGCTACTGACAAATAAAAGCAAGACAAACAATTAAATGAAACTACTAAATTAATTTAGGCCCTGTTTACTTAAGGCCCTGTTACACGGTGCAAGTTTTTTTGCAACTTGTCTCGCAATGGCGTTGCGAGACAAGTTGCACGAGTCATTGCATCGTTTAACATGCCTTGCAATGGTCAAAATCTTTGCGAGACAAGTTGCATGAAGCATTGCACAGAGTAGAACTCGGTTCTACTTTTGGCAACGATTGCACTAATTATTTTTAGCATTGCAGCGTGTAACATGACTTCGTGCAACTTGTCTCGCATGTTCATAGCTTGGAGAGTTCCTATTGGCTCTCCGGCCCAGTACACGCTTTACTTTAATTAAAATTTGGCGCCAAATAGCGGTTCTCTCTAGTCTCTTCGCATGCCTCTGTCCCCTACAGTGGACTCTAATAAGACTGGAACAAACTGGAACGATAACTCAGGTAAACATGCCCATACTTGCCTGAAGCCAACCGTGCAAGGAAATTGCACTTTTAAAAGAACTAAGGAGAGTTTCGAGGAGTGGGAAATTCAGTCAAAGTTTTATATTTTTGACGAAAATGAGCAAGAAAAATCGTTTTTCATCAAAAGACTTCAATTTAAAAAACCCAAATACGATTTATTTGATAGTTACACGGGTAAAAATTGATCAGGTTGTTCAAACAGTAGCGAACAATGTTGTGCTGCACCCCGTGAACAATATTGTTAACAAGTTGTTCCGAGTTGTTCAATCATTAATATTGTTGCAAGTTGATAACATGATTGTCAACAAGTTGCAACAACGTTGATGGTTCAACAACATTGTTAACAATATTGTTCACGGGGTGCAGCACAACATTGTTCGCTCCTGTTGTGAACAACTTGCATCAACATGATGATTTTTACGCGTGTAGAACTGCTTTGCATCCTACAACAGCAAAAGTTTGAAGGGTAGTATCAGGTTTGTTTTCATAAAACGACACTAGTTGAACGTGCCGAAGTGAACTTTGCTCTTTAACTAAAAAAACAACTTTAAAACGTAAGTCTACGGACCAATATCTTTTTTGTATTAACGTCTAGGTCTAGTTGTTTATTTTGAGTGCTTTTTGACTTCTCTATATAAAACGTGAATAAATCGATTTTTTCGTAGAAATCCCCCGTGATTTGCGATTTGTGATTTGACGCCCGGGAGAAGTTCGCGTGCTGTGACTTTCAAAAAAGAACTGGGGGAGTTCAATTTCCTCGTAATTTTGTTTTTTTTGGCAAAAATACGCCAAAAAATTAGGTATTTCGTCCGAAGATTTCAATTTCAAAGATTCAAACTTGGTTTTCTGGATAGTTCTAAGTATTCAACATCGTATTATAAAGATTAATGCCCAGCATAACGTACGAAAGAGAGCCATATAGACAATAATATAGAAATAAAATTTATTTAGAAGTACTATCGTTTCGTCTTTAACCTAAGACATCTTCAGAGTAAATGAATATAGTATGACAATAAGTTACAAATATGAATAAATTATTTACAATATCAAATTACAAGGTGATGAGGTAATAGGAATGCAGAGGGGGGGGGGTTAAGGAGAGACGTCAGAGGAGTGAGAGAGGAATGGAGCTACCTTGCTGATTTAAAGTAGGTTTGAGCTTTGAGATGAGAAGACTTTCACGGACGAGAAGTTCATCTGGAGAGGAACATGATGATAGGATCTTAAAATCATCAAGAGAAGCAGTATGACCTGAGTGGCTCAGATGGGAAAAGACGCTCGTCAGTTGAGGACTGCTACTCGTCTTACCAGTTAAGGCGGAAATACCCAGGTGTTCAGAGACTCGTGTATGTAGATGGCGGACCGTTTGGCCCACATACGACGCGGAACAGCATCGACACTTAAAAGAATAAACTACACAAGACCTCAAAGCATCGGGAATTTTGTCCTTAAACATGAAAAAATTTGACAAACGTAGAGTGGGACGAAAAACGATTCTGATGTTTATATGTGGGAAGGCTACAGAGCAAAGGCGTTGGATTTGGGTACGGATTTGGAGAGAGTGTGTTCCGGTATATGGAAGACAAACGTATACCACTTTCTTAGATACAGAATGGATTAATTCCTTGGGTTGAAAGGTTTTATCAAGAAAGAGTCGAACACAACGATCAAAAAGACGAGTAGGATAACCATTCTGGTTGAGGATTTTTCTATAAAACTCAATCTGAGCATGGAAATTCTCATAGTTAGAGCAAATATTGAAAAAGCGGTGTAATAGTGAATATATTAAACCACATTTAAATTGTAGAGGAGTGAAGCTATGGAAATTAGTTAAAAGCCCTGTGAATGTAGGTTTACGATAAACAGAGGTTTCAAAGTGACCATTAGTTCGTGTGATAGTAATGTCAAGGAAGGAAAGTTGACAATTGGATTCAACTTCGCACGTAAAGAGTAATGTTAAGATGTTGGCGATTGAGATATGCAAGAAAAAGAGGAATATGGTCCCTAGAACGGAATAGAAGGAAGGTATCGTCTACATATCGGCGATATAGTAAGGGCTTAAAATTGGTAGGGCAATTATTAAGCCAAATGGTTTCATGAAAAGATAAAAAAATGTTAGCAAATAGAGGCCCAAGAGGAGAGCCCATTGCTACGCCGTCTACCTGTTGATATAGGGTCGAACCATTGAACAAGAAATGGCAGTTTTTGACAGCACGATTCAAAAATTGTTTGAATTCAGAGCGAGTGAGATCATGACAACGGATGGCATTCGAAAACAAGCGATCGGCAATTATTTCAATGGTTTCATCCGTTCGACAAGGACGTGGCATCAAAGCTAGCCATGGCAAGATTATCGGAATTAAAGTCTAGACTTAACAATTCCTGCACAAGGGAGAAAGAATCACGAACCATGAAGGCGCTAGAGCAAATAGGACTTGTAAAAAACGTTCAGTTATACCTCGGTTCCTATGGTTCAAAGTTGCGAATCGGCGTCTCCGAAACTCGAGTGCTTACCGACAATGCCAACTCAAACTTTTACAGGATGAAATTAACTCTAAACACTGATGCAAGAATTCGTTTGTTGTCATCTCAAGTTACTGTCGCATACTCTAACCTTGCCGCGCTTGTCTCGTCATTAGATTTTATTCACTTTAAAAACGTCTCTGACCGCGAGAATACAAAGAAACTAAACCAACAGCAACGAATTAAAGACCGTAAACTTTTTCGCCTTTGCTCTGACGCAAATAATGATGCTTCAATCGACCCGGACAAGGTTGTGTTCAATTTCTCACAGCGCTTAATCTCGGACAAAGAGAAGGAAATCCTCTCGAAAGGTCTCAACTTTGCCATTCCACCCAACAAGTTAGATCACTGTGCCTTCCTTGCCCCTTTTGAAATGCTACACAGAAAGTTAAAGGACGAACAAATTTCTTCATCCTCAGGATATTATCCAACCCTGGTCAAAACCAAGTTGAAAGATATCGCGCTCTCTGGCCACCGCAGTTACAGCCGACCTGATTTCTTGTTTTCCAAGGACGATTTGAAAACACTCGATGATTTAAAGAAGGACAAAAACATCGTCATCGTGAAGCCAGATAAAGGAAATGGAGTTGTCATTCTCGACCGTGGCGATTACAACCGGAAAATGGAAGATATTTTGCGTGACACTAGCAAGTTTGAACGCCTTGATGTTGATCCTGTCAAATTACCATTGCAGCGTGAAAACCAAATTAAGAACCTTCCAGCCTCATTGAAGAAATCTGAATCGATCACGCAAGCAACCTATAAACAACTTTATCCTACTGGCTCTCGCATTGGTATCTTATACGGAATTCCAAAAATACACAAGAACAATATTCCACTTAAACCAATTCTATCATGTATTAATAATTATTCTTATAAGATGCCAAGTTCTTTGCCAAGTTCTTTGTTCCCATTCTAAGTCCTATTTGCCCTAGCGCCTTCATGGTTCGTGATACATTCTCCTTTGTGCAGGAATTGTTAAGTCTAGACTTTAATTCCGATAATCTTGCCATGGCTAGCTTTGATGTCACGTCCTTGTTTACTAATATCCCACTGGACGAAACCATTGAAATAATTGCCGATCGCTTGTTTTCGAATGCCATCCGTTTTCATGATCTCACTCGCTCTGAATTCAAACAACTTTTGAATTGTGCTGTCAAAAACTGCCATTTCTTGTTCAATGGTTCCCTATATCAACAGGTAGACGGCGTAGCAATGGGCTCTCCTCTTGGGCCTCTATTTGCTAACATTTTTTTATCTTTTCATGAAACCATTTGGCTTAATAATTGCCCTACCAATTTTAAGCCCTTACTATATCGCCGATATGTAGACGATACCTTCCTTCTATTCCGTTCTAGGGACCATATTCCTCTTTTTCTTGCATATCTCAATCGCCAACATCCTAACATTAACTTCACGTGTGAAGTTGAATCCAATTGTCAACTTTCCTTCCTTGACATTACTATCACACGAACTAATGGTCACTTTGAAACCTCTGTTTATCGTAAACCTACATTCACAGGGCTTTTAACTAATTTCCATAGCTTCACTCCTCTACAATTTAAACGTGGTTTAATATATTCACTATTACACCGCTTTTTCAATATTTGCTCTAACTATGAGAATTTCCATGCTCAGATTGAGTTTTATAGAAAAGTCCTCAACCAGAACGGTTATCCTACTCGTTTTTTCGATCGTTGTGTTCGACTCTTTCTTGATAAAACCTTTCAACCCAAGGAATTAATCCATTCTGTATCTAAGAAAGTGGTATACTTTTGTCTTCCATATACCGGAACACACTCTCTCCAAATCCGTACCCAAATTCAACGCCTTTGCTCTGTAGCCTTCCCACATATAAACATCAGAATCGTTTTTCGTCCCACTCTACGTTTGTCCAATTTCTTCATGTTTAAGGACAAAATTGCCGATGCTTTGAGGTCTTGTGTAGTTTATTCTTTTAAGTGTCGATGCTGTTCCGCGTCGTATGTGGGCCAAACGGTCCGCCATCTACATACACGAGTCTCTGAACACCTGGGTATTTCCGCCTTAACTGGTAAGACGAGTAGCAGTCCTCAACTGACGAGCGTCTTTTCCCATCTGAGCCACTCAGATCATACTGCTTCTCTTTATGATTTTAAGATCCTATCATCATGTTCCTCTCCAGATGAACTTCTCGTCCGTGAAAGTCTTCTCATCTCAAAGCTCAAACCTACTTTAAATCAGCAAGGTAGCTCCATTCCTCTCTCACTCCTCTGACTTCTCTCCTTTAACACCCCCCGCCCTCATCCCATTATTAATAACTGGTCTCTAAAATATATGCCACTACACGGAACCTATCAATTGAAAGTTAAAACGAATGGATTTCAAGATGTTGACAAGAAACGGAGCAAACAATACTCTACCGGGTATAACGCACTACGTAATATATACCAGATGTGAAGCACGCTGACCGAAAGCCGCGGGCGTGTGTGGTAGGCTAATATCCGAAAGGATATTTATACTACCCACGCAATCAACAACGTATGCATCTTGGTAGCTACCACGGAAAGATTTTGTTCCACCGGCAAGGAAACAAAATGCCCTAATTTTCAGTGTAACTGGTAAATTCAACCTAACCGGTAAATTCAAAGTTCTTTCAAGAGTTTCTGCAGGTCGGTTTTATTGCGGTTTCGAAATACCAGGTGAATTATTGAGACTTGCGTGTTATTACTAAGCACTGATTTACTCAGACCTCGACAAAACAGCATGTTTTGCGCCCCCTTGATCGTCGTTGTTACCCTGGGCTGCAACAACGGCGGTCAAGGGGGCAACAAAACCCGCTGCTTTCCTCGGTCCCGGTAGATAATTAAGTGATCAATATACCACGCGAAAGTGCAACATGATTGACAGAAGTGAAAAACTGGCGTGTTTGCTAATGTCATGAAGAAATACGGGTTGAATCACAGCAATCCCATGCAGGCTTTGTTTATGCCGAATAATAATAGCGTTTATACGAGACCTGCATGATCGTAGGAAAGGTAAGTGAAATTTACTATATGTAAAGTACAATTCTATCATGGTAATTATATTCTTTGATGTTTTGAACCTCGGGCAGCACAAAACATGCTTGCATTTCCTGTTTGCATTCTCTCTTTTAACACGGAAAGCAGGGCTCGAGCAGGCCAGTTGAATTTCAGAGCGGGTCGGATGAGAAATATCTATCTACACAGGACTCTAACAGATTCTTCAGCCGAACAGATTGCTTTATATTCACAGCTTAAAATTAGTAGCGTTAGTGGGGTCCTTGCAGCTGTCATGTTCCCCATTTCCTGGACAATCAAAACAGGTCATAACCCTGTTCCATCTAAGCAGATGGGTTGTTTTTGCCGTCATGACAACGTTTCACACGTCATGCTTGCCGGGTAACTTGACTCCTATGCTGTTTCTAAAACCTACCCAAAACGGATCGCCTCCAAGATCGCTCTCTGCAATTGCAAATAGGCCATACTGTAAAGAGCCTAAGAATGCTGCTATTAAAAAACCAACGCCATATAATGTTCCAAAATGTAATATTGAAAATCTAAATCAATGAAAATAACAAAAATCAGAAATCATTTAGCGATTACAAATCATTTCCGCGATTTGGGACACGCTTGGAAGGTAGAGGGTTGATAATGAAGACAATATACCGTATAAATTTAAAACCTTTTTACCATTTTTGCACGGAAGATATATTTTACTTTTACATAATTTTCTGTGCATGTACGTTTAATTATTTGTGTGCATGTGCGTTTACTTGTTTGTGTGCATGTGCATTTAATTATTTGTGTGCAAGAACGCTTAATTGTTTATGTGCATGTGCGTTGAACTATTTGTGTGCATGTGCTTGTTTTTGTTTGTTTTGTTTGTTTTTGTTTGTTTTTGTTAGTCTTTTTGGTTTTTATTTTGTTTGTTTTTGTTTGTTTGTTTTTGTTTGTTTTTGTTTTTGCTTGTTTTCGTATGTTTCTGTTTGTTTCTGTTTGTTTCTGTTTGTTTTTGTTTGTTTTTGGTTGTTTTTGGTTGTCATTGTTTGTTTTTGTTTGTTTGTTTGTTTGTTTGTTTGTGTTTGTTTGTGTTTGTTTGTGTTTGTTTGTTTGTTTTTGTTTGTTTTTGTTTGTTTTTGTTTGTTTTTGTTTGTTTCTGTTTGTTTGTTTTTGTTTGTTTTTGTTTGTTTTTATTTGTTTTTGTTTGTTTGTTTTTGTTTGTTTGTTCTTGTTTGTTTTTGTTTGTATTTGTTTGTTTTCGTTTGTTTGTTTTTGTTTGTTTTTGTTTGTTTGTTTTTGTTTGTTTTTTTTGTTTGTTTTTTTGTTTTTGTTTATTTTTGTTTGTTTTAGTTTGTTTTAGTTTGTTTGTTTGTTTTTGTTTGTTTGTTTTTGTTTGTTTTTGTTTGTTTTTGTTTCTTTCTGTTTGTTTCTGTTTCTTTTTGTTTCTTTCTGTTTCTTTTTGTTTATTTGTGTTTCTATTTGTTTCTATTTGTTTCTATTTGTTTCTTTTTGTTTCTTTTTGTTTCTTTTTGTTTGTCTGCTTGTTTTTGTTTGTTTGTTTGCTTCGGTTTGTTTTTGTTTGTTTGTTTTTGTTTGTTTGCCTGGTTTGTTCTTGTTTTTTTTTTGTTTTTGTTTGTTTTTATTTGTTTTTGTTTGTTTGTTTTCGCGGTATTTTGTTGGTTTTTTTGTTGTTGTTTGTTTGTTTTCGTTTGTTTTTGTTTGTTTATGTTTGTTTGTTTTTGTCTGTTTTTGTTTGTTTTTTTGTTTGTTTTTGTTTGTTTTTGTTTGTTTTTGTTTGTTTCTGTTTCTTTCTGTTTCTTTTTGTTTGTTTTTGTTTGTTTCTGTTTGTTTCTGTTTCTATTTGTTTCTTTTTGTTTGTCTGTTTGTTTGTCTGTTTGTTTGTCTGTTTGTTTTTTTTTTTTTTTGTTTGTTTGCTTCGGTTTGTTTTTGTTTGTTTGTTTTTGTTTGTTTGCTTCGGTTTGTTTTTGTTTTTTTGTTTTTGTTTGTTTTTATTTGATTTTGTTTGCTTGTTTTCGCGGTTTTTTGTTGATTTTTTGTTGTGGTTTGTTTGTTTTCGTTTGTTTTTTTTTTTTTTTTTTTTTTTTTTTTTTTTTTTTTTTTTTTTTTTTTTTTTTTTTTTTTTTTTTTTTTTTTTTTTTTTTTTTTTTTTTTTTTTTTTTTTT